ATTGATGATTTGATCATATTAAGTAATACCATGAAGAAGATGGATTGGTTGAAGGTAAAGTTAGAAGAAGAGTATGAAATGAGTGACTTGGAAGAACTCCACTATTATTTAGGAGTGGAATTTGTAAGAGATCGTAGTAACAAGACCATTGCAATGAGTCAAAGCAAGTACATTGAAGAAGTATTGAAAAGATTCAACATAGAGGATTGCAAGCCCATTGGAACACCTTTGGATGCCAATTTGAAGTTGAAGAAGCTCACAAATGAGGAATTTGTTGAGGTTGAAGATGAAATAAAAAGTGTTCTATACAAGGTAGCAGTAGACTCACTCATGTATATAATAATTGGTGTAAGAATAAACCTTACATATGCGATGAGTGTTGTGAGTCAATACATTTCAAAGACTAGACTAATCCATTCGGCAACCATCAAATAGATCATGATGTACTTTAAAGGCACTTTAAACTTCAAATTATATTTTGGAGGAATTAATGTTGCATTATATGATTATTGTAATGTGAATTGGACTAAAGATACAAATGATAGAAGATCAACAACGAGATATTTGTTCTTTATTGGAGTGGAAGCAATCTCATGGAATTGCAAGAGACAACTAACAATTACAAGGTCCATAATAGAGGTAGAATTCATGGTAGCAAGTCATGGTGCAATGGAGGCAATTTGGTTAAGACAACTTTTAGAAGACATTGAACTTGTATAAATGGAAGTAACTCCAATGAAGTATGATAACTAAAGCATTACTTAAGAATCAAGTACATTGACATTCAACATCACTTCATAAGAGAGAAGATTGAAATAGGATTGATTGACATAAAGTATTATATAATAGAAGACATACTTGTTGATTTGCTCATAAAAGCACTTATGATGGATAAGCATCAAAAGTTAATAAAGGCACTAGAATTAATAATCTTTGACCAATAGCAAAATAGAAGTGTTAAAGTAAATAAATATTACCATAGATATAGTAAAATAAGTAATTATTACCTTACATAAGTTGTTAGTAGTCAAAGGAAAAAAAAATGGTGAAGGGAAGTAACTAAGGTAGTGGCTAGGATTTAGGTAGTGGTGTCACGATGTAACATGACTAATATGTGAAAGAGTGTCGAAATCATTATAATGTAGGAGATTTTAGTTCAAAATATTAGAGCAAATTATCTTAGAAATATAATTAATAATCAAAAGGGTAGTAAAACTAAAAGATACCAATACTGCCTTTTCAGAAAGGTGACTTCTACTTACTTTGTAGGACCATAAATAAAGTAAAATAAAATAGATTAGAAAAATAAAAGATATCAACATCTTAAGAAGGAAGTTAAGAGTAAATTATAACAAAAATTACCTAGAAAAACTAGATATTGATACCCAAGGAGGATTGATTATCAACTTGGGTCGAAATCAGATCCTTAGGCACTAAACCGAGCACCTACCGCAATTCAGGGGTTCTTTTGTAGATTGGAGAGTAGAATTTGATAGTAAATTAGATAGAATTTTTATAAACAATGGTTTTTGGTGATTTTGATTTGTTATGACTTTGTAAGAGCTTTACAAAGTTAAGTTTATTTTTGGATGACTTGGGTTTTGTGAAATAAAATAGGATTGATATTTCCAGTGATTTCAAGAGTTTTGTAATAGATCTATAAGTGAAATTTTGTGGATTATTGGTTATAGTTGTGTTTAATATGTGTTGTGAATCTTAGCTCGATTTAATATTTTAATTGAGGATTATTGAGGTTTAAGTGGATCAAGGTCTCAAAATTAGAATTTTAGGTTCAGTGAGGGTTTTTAAGATTTCTTATAATCTACTAGTTGGATTAGAGTGAAATTTGTGAGTGAGGATATTAGACTTATTTTTCTATGTATATGAGAATTTTGAAATCAATCAAATAGTGAAAAGGAGAAATATTGGCTCTGGGAGATTGGCATCAAGATCAAAGAAGGAGGCCGGTCAATATCCAAGCACATTTTTGACGCTATTGTCTATTTGGTAATTTCAATCCTTTTCAAATTTTTTATGCTTCTTGTCAACTTAATTGTTAAAAAGCATGAAAAAAATTAGTTAAGGTCAACGGTTCATTTATTAGTAATTGAGGTTTAAATCTATTATAGAAATTACTAGGATTTGATTTAGGGTTTGGTTAGGATTTGGTTTAGGGTTTAGGATTTGATTAGGGTTTGATTTAGGTTTGGATTTGGTTAAGATTTGATTTAGGGTTTAAGATTTGATTTAGGATTGATTAGGGTTTGATTTAGGATTTAAGGTTTGGTTTAGGATTTAAGATTTAGGGTATAAGATTTGGTTAGGATTTGGTCAGGATTTGATTTGATTTAGGATTTTATTTGAGTTTGTTTAGGATTTAAGATTTAGTTAGTTTTTGGCCTAAAGTTTGAATGAAGTCCAATAGGATTTCAATTAAGATTAAATTAAGATTGAATTGACATGTATTTGAGATATGTTTGTAATCATTCTAATATTTCTTTAAATTTTCTTATTTTTTCTTTGTAATTCCTTTGAAATTTCTCTGAATTTGATTAAAGCTTGTTTAGCATTGTTAGTGTTCTATTAGAATTAGGATTTTGTTGTTGCAATTTCCATTCTACCTTCCATAGCCAGGTGCCCGGAGCATTCTCAAACAAGACTTCTCATATTACAACAGCGGTTAGGTTAAGAAAGAACCTAGGGTTTAGTTGGATGAAGTAAAAATGGATATAATAACAAAAAGATGGAAGTTGTTTTGTTGGTTAGCAACCACCACCTATAAGTAAAGGGTGTTGGAAGTGGGAGGTATCTCATTCCACACTTCTCTTGTGTACAATCTTATTGATTTCTAATTATTTGTGTCTTGCTAGTTGTATTTCTTCAATAAAAATAACTATGGTCTTTTATTTCTATGGATTTTATTACGGATTTTCTAGTCTTAGATTTGTATGATTTTATATTCATGAAAGTAGATCATTTTATCAAGATGGCATATTTTATATCATGGATAAAATCTATCACATGTATTGGTAGCTTGTGGAATAAGCTAATTATGTGGTGCACATATAGAAAACTTGCCTTGCAAATTAAAATATGTACCTTGTAAAGTCAACATGTTTTGGAGGTCCTTTAAAACATTGCCATATAGCTCTTAATTAGATAGTATATATGGATGCAAGAGTGAAGACTTCTTCACTCTTATTAATGCCTTTCTAATCTTTAGTCTTCTTTTAAGACTTTCCAATCTTCTTGTCTTTGGCAATAGCCATTCCAGTTCAATATATTACTATTTTTCAGTGATTTCTTAGTCTTTTTGAATGATATAAGAGTATATTGATGATTTCTTTCTTTAAGATATATGTCCTTGATAGGTAGTTAAGAATTAGCACAATACTTAGTTAATCTTGGACAATAGCATCATGAGATAGAATAGTATTGAGTTGGAGATTGTATGTTTTTAGTTGAGTTAATAAATAAAAATTTATGTTTTCAATCATTGTATAGAGTGTATTTGATTTTATAAGGTATTGTCTTGTGTTTGCTCATAATCCCAAAAGCCTAAGTAATAGAAATAATAATTTTTTGAGGTTTAAAAATAAATAAATAAAAAATCTAAATTTTATTAAATGATTTATGTATGAAAAACATTTAGATCTAACACAATACAAAAATTTTAAAGAAAGATTTTATGGAATAATTTATTTAAAAAAAAACATGATTTCAACAAGTTTGATAGAATATAATAAAATATCTAAGAAAATAACAATATATAGAATGAAATAACAACCAAATCTTAATATTAATTTTCTTTGTAATTAGAACAAGATTTGAATGACAAGAAAAATAATGGGATTTTATTTATAAAAATAGCATATTCAAATGAAATAATAGAATTATATTTAATAGTATCATAATCTATGATAATATAGAATAGATACTCAACTTACACTTTGGCTTTTTTATTTCATCTATGTGTTAGTGGAGATAGATACCAATTAGTTATTTTAGATTCTGATGACAATTCAATAACATGCAACTAAATATTGTGTTGCCCAAAAAAAATTGGCAGCATGGGTTTAAGATTTAGAGTTTTAAAAAGAACACAAAATCATTTTTAAACAATCAGACAAAGTTAAAGGTTTAAAATTCACTAAAATGTTTAGGGACATGAAACTATTTAAATTTTCTATTCGTCTAGTACTAACTGGATACTAATTCCTTTACAACCTCATAGTCCATGCTCTTTCAAATCTAAGATCTTAGAACATCTACACATTAAAATTGCACCTTTATCTACTTATTCTTCATGACGGTAAACATTGACAATCTGTATTTCGTATACTTATAAATCTAATAGAAAATGTATTTAGATTTGTTTGTTTACATCAAAAAATTAATATAAAAATATAAAATATAAAAACCAAAACCAAATTGGCTTCATTATGTCTCGAGACCATGAACAAAGTTTGGAATGCTTAGGAGACGACGCGAAGTAGAGCTTCCGTGTGTTATCGCAACCAGTGGAACTCAGCGATGCTGCAACCCACCTCGGAAATCGAATCCTAACCCTAATTATCAACGAAATCCCTCCTCGAAGCTGTGGAATCATTCATCGCAACCATTCACACCTCCACCTCGCCGAAATGATCCTCTACGCTTCTACAATGCCGATGGCGAATGAACCCACATGCACCGAAACATCAAGGGGCTGCTTTCCCTTTTTTTCCCTCATTAAGAAAGAAGAGTGTCAGAGGGGTCGTGTCCTGTCGGCCAGATCAGTGGGGGGGAGTTGCGCTCACGAGAGCGAATGATTTGGCCTGAGTTGAATGCGACGAGCACCACCATTGACACCGTTTGAATCGTGATGCACGCAGGATAGAATTGAATGCGTTGCTTTACGGGCTTTGTGTAGGGATAATTGCGCAATGATGGTGGGGGGGGGGGGGTGTTAGTGAAATGGTCTGGTGATGAGATATGGCCGTGAATAACGGTATTTCCATGGTCAATTGTGGGGGAAAAGAGAACAGCGCTTGCTATCAATATGTGGGGTAGACATGTGCCGTGCGCTGGATGGATGCGATGGGCGGATTTTGACAGTCTGCCGAGGTGTGATGGACGGGAAAGTGGCTTTTGCGTTTATTGTGCGGAGGCGACACTTTTGGCTTTGGGCATGGTCGTCACTGGTGTCATCGATCGGTGTACAGGAGCTGCCAGTGGACTGGGTGCATGAAATCCAACGGTGTGAACACGGAGACCATCGGTGCTTGTTTTTGGTTCCGCTCTACTTCCGCTCTCGTGTCTTTCGATCTTAATCTGGTCTCTCAGCTCAAAGAATTTTGTTACGTGACGTGCAGAGAAGTGGGTTACGCTGCTGACGGCGTATGCCGTAGGTCTACTTGCGATTCTAGTCGTCTATTAGAATTTTTTTTTCTTCCCCCTTCAAGCAGACGTTCTCTCGATGACCAGTACTGTGAATCGGATCAAGTTGAAGGAGACTTCGTATGATATCCAAAACTCCACTCAAAAGTTTAAACTAGACTAGCAGATCATGACCATGTCGAGGGAAGAAAAAGTGAACGTCGGAGGGGTACATTCCTGACGACAAGCCACAGTTGATTTGAGAATATGTGGGTTCTGGAAACTCAGATTGAAGAGTGGGGATCAGAATACACAGTTTGTGGCAGGCTTAACTACAGGCATGGAGCCTGAAGATGCTGAATAAGAACTGTTCATAGACCGTAGTAAAGGAACTACCCATGGAAATGATTTCCGCTTGACTTATTAGACGTCTTGTTCTGCAGTTTTTTCTTCTTAGGGTTACCTTTCTGACGCCTATATCATGAGCAAGTAGATCTCTAACAATTTATCCAGCGCTTGACACAACTTTCAATTCTCAGGTCATCAGCTCGTTCCACTCTCTAGAGAGTTCTGCCGTCACAGAGGTGTAAAGCATGTTACATTTCTTGCACTTCAGGGTGTCTAAATGGCTACTGAAGAAGTAGTTGGTATCCTTCTATGTTGTCACCCACGAAGGGAAGTTTGATGATTTCTAACTGTAGGTGCACTGATGCCGAGCATTTGAATTGCGATGTGGTCGATTCCTTGTTCTAGATTCTCTGCGTGCCTTGAATGTACTTGGGAAAGCCCAGAACAACTTGATTCTTCTGCTTGGTTCTATAGATTCTCAAAGAAATCCATTAGCCTCGTGATCTGTGGGTAACGTCGGTTGGTTTTCGTGTTGGTTGCGTGGTATGTATCTGGTTTTCAGAAGGTATAGTGCTTCAATTTATGCTGTTCATGACCGACAAATCATAGTTGGAACGTTCATTGAGATTGCAAAACCTTTCCGAAGCTACCATAACAGAGTTTCGAATCTTTCTCGTATCTTTCAGTACCTGATTCACAAATAGATGTAACAACTTGGTTATCCCTGATGGTCATTTGGTTTCAAAGAATCCACTTGTTCTGCCCGCCATTTCAGAAATGTTCCTGGAAAGATTGGAGGTTTTGTTCTTCTTCTCTTGACATGGAACTTTTACTACATCAACAATGGCATTAACTGAAGTCAGAGAATGTGATCCAGGTCATTAATTTACAATCAACACCGAAGGTGCCTCCAGGGACACCGAAAAAGCACAGTTAGCGCACAGTTGGAAGTACTATGAATCACCCTCTGTTTTTTTTGTTGATTTTATCATATTCATAATCCCAGCGCCTGGAGAGAAAATTGAGATTGCTCCAAATAATGATTGTGTGGCTATTCATGACACAGATTCTCAAATATCAATCGGCTCCAGACGCGACATGCAGACCAACCCCCCCCCCCCCTCCCCTCATCATCTCAACCACTGTTTTGAGCATCTTAATCTGGTTAGTGGAGGGTCAAACTGTAAGATCGAATCATCAAATCAAAGAGGAGTGATAATTTGAGCCCGAGTTTTTTCTCAACCTTCAATCTCTACTTTTTCCACAAATGGTGATTTCCAAGGCGTTTCTGTCTTCTCACAATGTGAGAGACTTGGGCAACGGTGACCAAGTGGTGGTACTAGGCCATGGGTTTGGATCAGACCAATCCATGTGGAGGTATATTGTGCCGTCCCTGCTGAGCAATAACCTCAAAATTGTCCTGTTCGATATAATGGGAGCCGGCACTACGGACCCTGAGCACTTTAGCTCTAAGAGTTACTCTTCCCTTCAGGCACACGCCGATGATCTGCTTGCGGTTCTGAGGGAGCTAGATATTGTGAGCTGTGTGTATGTGGGGCACTCCATGTCAGGGATGATAGGTTGTCTCGCTTCCATCCAGCGACCCGAAATCTTTCGAAAGCTCATCCTACTTGCGACGTCACCAAGGTAGTGTATCAATCAACGTAGTGGCCCCTTCATCTGTTTGTAATTAAAAAACCACCCATTGAACTGTCTCATACCCTTGTGCTTGAGCAGTGCTTCGTGGATTACAAGACCGTAACAGTTCGATCTTTCTATTTTAGGTACTTAAATGATAGGAACTATTATGGAGGCTTTGAGCAGCACGACCTTGATCAGCTGTTTGCCAACATAAAGTTCGACTTCAAATCATGGGTGTCCGTGTTTGCACCAGGGGCTGTTGGGGGCGACATTGACGACAAAGCAGTGCAAGAATTCTTTCGGACGTTATTGTCTATGAGGCCGGACATTGTCCTCAGCACCTCTAAAACCATATTCCAAAGCGATCTTCGAAGCATCCTACCGGAGGCAAGAAAACTTCAAAGTTGCAAATCAGTCTACATAGTTTTCTACTTCTGCTTCTTCCATGCACGTGCAGCAATATTCCAATCACATTTCATTACACTTTTACGATGGACGTGAGGATTGAAGTTTGCAGTTCTGCTTTGGCTGAAGCGTGTGCAGGTTACAGTGCCTTGCCATATAATTCAAAGTCGTAAAGACCTGGCCGTTCCAGTTGAAGTGGCAGAGTACTTGAGCCGCAACTTGGGAGGGTGGACATCCATGGAGATTCTACAAACTGAAGGCCACATACCTCAATTGAGCTCTCCAGAGTTGGTCATCCCGGTGCTTTTGCGCTGCATCGATGCTTGAGGATCAAACTAAGTCGTGACCTTACAGCACATTGTGAGGGGTTGTTAATATTTCCTGTAAAATATCGACCTCAGAAGAAAACTTGGATTTGCTCTCAATAAGATTGAATTACTTTAGAAGAGTTTGAACACGTCAATACTAGTTAGTGGGACCTCATACCATACCAATTTACATCTGCCAGCTATTATGATTGTTGTATTACACGGTGGTGTTTGTTCTAAGTTTGTTGACTGGTGGTATATTTGTACCTTATTTCAATCGTAGCATATGTGGAAACTTATTTATTGGTTACTAATGTAGAATTATAACCTCTTGAAGTATGCTATTTCATTAGTCTAAGGTGCGGTTTCACAGAGCATTAAAATCTGAAATGCATTGTAACACTTGGTGAAAGTTCAGGTTTCTAAAGCAATTGGTTGATGTATTCTGAGGATCCTCTAGTTCTGTGTGGAGTGTCTCCCATTTTCGTTCAAGTAAGAAATACAAATTGATGAAATTGCGTAACTTTGTAGCAGTCGATCTTTTGAAAGAAATGTGGATCATTGTAATGTATGTGTTTGCGGATTCGATTTGAGACAGAGACATTGGCTTTGACTTGAAGAGATAAGTCTGTCGGTTATGAGATTGTAGGTAGCGAAACAAATGCGACATGAGATGATAGAGTTTCAAATCCAATTGATAAATCAAAGAAAAACCAGTTTCTAGCATATTACTCGTAGAGTAGGAATATACACCATCAAGATTGTTTCTCTCAAGTGAACTGTTTTAGATACTAGGAATTACACATACACTAAATTGTTCCACCAAAAACACCCAAATTTGGTATTATAAAAAAGATTGAAATAGTTGACAGTGCCATGTTTCCTCATCTGAATGTCAAAGTACAGGGAACACACAGTTGAAAAATCAAGCTAGCCTTATTTGCAGCGCCTTGCACTATGAGGTTATAGAAACAAGACAATGTGCTGCTGAAATTTTACATTGCTTCTGCAAACTTAGAAATTGGACCTAAGATGCTGTGTTATGTTGAATCATGTGTGATTCTTGAAATCTAATTTATTCCATATTTTATATTTTTTATCTGGATTGGAGATGGAAAATAGTCGTAAACTGCATTCACAAGGGGTGTTATGAAAGGAGTGAGATTATCATAATCCATATATGCCTTACAATATGATCCAACAACAACATATCAAGTACACCACTATTTTTTTATAATTCAAATTATTGATGTATAGTTTGTTTCAACAATCTAAATGTATTAAGATATATATAAGTGTGTGTATATATATATATATATATATATATATATATGGGAATGATAAAGCGACCCAAATTTTTACTAAATCAACCCACATGTTTAAATCATTATTGTACTATTTCAACTCCATTACCATTTTGAGTTGTTTTGCTATTCCCAATTGTTGTTCCATTCCCAATCCTCCACCTCCATCCTTAGCAATGGTTGAGAACAAGAAACAATTGGAAATACAAATAAGGGCTGCAAGGGTTCAATGATGGTTAAATAGAGTAGGTCACTTTAGTAAATATTTTGGTAACTTTATCATTCTTATATATATATATATATATATATTTACAGAGAATAATATAGATAGATAGAAAGAGAGAGAGAGAGAGAGAGAGAGAGAGTTTTTAAAGTTATACCTCCTTTGTCACTTCATGATCCATTTTATATCCGTTTCATGTCTCCAATCCTATTTTCAACTCCTATCTTATATTTCCAATTCCTGTCTCTCATTTCCAATCATCATTTTATATTTCTAATCTAATCTCTTCTCTTCCTTCTACCTAGTTTCTACTCTATGTTGACCTCACCTTGTTCCAATCTCCCAATTCTGTCTTAAATTTTGAGTTTCAAAGTTTTCTACTAATAATCTTATTAAATTTTTAAATTTGAGGTATTTACTTACTAAATTTTTATTTTAGAAACTTGTGTAATATCTAGGAAAAATAATAGTTTTTTTTAGAATCTTCACCTTATTTTACATTAGATGTTTGTTTAGAACCTAAAAATCACAAAGCTTTTATATTATTAGATTTAAAAGCCTCAACTTATTTATTAAATAAAGAATTTATTATAAGATATATATATATATATATATACTTCATAAAGAAAATAAAGTACATACATATAGAAATCATAGATGCGTATCTTTTGTCTTTAGGAGATGTTATTTATAAAACTATCCTTATAGGAGTGGCAAAAAATGGTTGTAATAGTTTAATGTATTTAACATTATTAAATTTCTTTCTAATCTAATAATTTTTAGGCCTATTGTTGCTAAAATAATATAAATTTTGGATAGATTAAATTTCTTATAATTTTATTTTTTTGATATTATAATCAAAAAAATTACTAACTAAGTAGAAAGTCAAAACACAAGTATGAACAAATTCTTATTTGTAGATATAAGATCTTTCATGCATACTATAAAAGACAGATTATCTTTTATTATTTATATCACATCTATTTATAATTTCAAAAAAATATACCATTCAAAGTTTCTAGTATGAACTCTTATCTTATTTATAAAGAAAAAAGATGGACCACTGCATATGTGTATAGCTTATTAAGAACTCAACAAAATTACCATAAAAAATAGATAATTTATTCTTTTGACATCAAGATTTTTTGATTAATTAAATCAAGTAAAAATCTATATAAATATAAATCTACAATAAGCATATGATGTGGTACACTTAAAAGAAAGAGAAAAAAATAGAAGACTACATATTGAATCATGTATGGACATTTTAAATATAATTTCATACCTTTTGGACTCAAAAAATGCACCAATTGCTTTTTAACATCTAATAAATGATGTTTTTTGAAAAAAATTAGATGGTTTTATTATTTTATTTTATCTAAAAATTATTTTAATCTACTCTAAGAATATAAAATAGTATGTATTTTATATTTGTTGTGTATTACAAAAACTTAAAGATACAAAACTATACATCAAAATAAAAAAGTGTATATTTTACAAAACTCAAGTTGATTTTTTAAAATATATCATTTTGAATAATGGCCTTATTATAGATCTTATATATATATATATATATATATATATATATATATAGCATGGATTAGAGGGTTTTTAAAAGAATAAAGGATATCTAATACTTTTTAAAATTTGTCAATTACTATATTATCTTTATCAAGAATTTTTTTCAAATTAAAATCCTAATTACACATTTCACTTGTAAAGATAAACTTGGATGTAACTTTTTTAAGGCATTTTTGTTTTAGATATAGATACATTGTATTTTGTCTTGGATACAATGTTTTTATAAATGGAAGAAAATAACAAACTTCATCCTATAGCTTTTTATTTAAGAATTGTTTTAGCAACTAAGATGAATTACAAGATCTATAACAAAGAACTTCTTGCAATTGAGGATTTATTTAAAGAATTGCACTTGTATCTAGTATGTACTTTTAATCCATTCATTGGTTATTCACATCACATGAATCTCAAGTATTTTATATTAGCACACATATTGAATTATTGTCAAGTTTATTGTAGCATGTCTTTGTCAAGATTCCTTTTTCATATCACCTATTGATAAAAAAAATAACAAGATTTGTCAAATTGTCTTTTTAGAAATTCTTACCTTATATCAAAAAAATGAAATGCAAATTTTAATCAATAATAAATAATTTTTTAAAGCCAAAGTAATTTCATCTATCAATAACAAAATCAACTTTGACTACTCATTTAATCTTTTTTTATCAAGTTTAATCAAATATATCTTAAAATCTTCTTGAACATCATATTAAAATAATTTTTAAAAATTTCATGATATTTTAAAGTTTTAATTCAAAAAAAATTATTTTAAGAAATATTTATATATTTTAGAAGTCAAAGCATATTTATGTGATCTATAAGCTTGTCAAACTTTTTTAGATATAAAACATTTTAGATACAATAAGACATTAGAGTTAATTTCAAGAGATTTTTGGTGGCTTCAAATATAGAAGGCAGCTAAAGACTTTGTATAAACATGTGATATTTGTTTAAGAATAAAAATTCCTTGTCATTGGTTTTATAGACTTCTCCAACCACTACTTATAATAGAAACACCATAGTCATCTATCTCTATAGATTTTATCAAGGAATATTTAAATTTAAGCTCGTCAAATTTTATATTTGTGATAGAAGATTATTTCACTAAAAAGGTACATTTTGTGTTATATATAAAAATTCTAATATGTGTAGAAATAATTAGAATTTATTTTTAAAATATTTATCACTATCATGACCACCAAGAGATATTATTTTGAATAGTACAACTCAATTTGTATTTGAGTTTTAAAGATGGATGTAAAATTGTTTTTGGCCTTCTATCTTCAAATTGATGAATAATCAAAATGAGTTAATCAAATATTAAATCATTATTTCAAATATACCATCAACTACCATTTAAAATATTAAAAAATTCTTTTTCTATTGGCAAAGTTTACTTATAATAATACAATATAATCTTCTACTTAATAATCACTTTTATATGCTAATTATATTTTTCATCAATAACTTGATACTTTTGACTTTTCAAAAGTATTAATAAATAATTTATTAAAATTTCCACCATTGAATTAATAAAGATTTATTATATATTTTATGTATCTTTTTGAGCTGTAGAAGATAGTGGAAATATCATGAAAAAGAAAAATGATATTTTTTATTATAAAAGTAGATAATAAACAAGAACTTGATGTAAAAGAAGTCTTTGAACTAATATGATAGAACATCTTATACATTGAACTAAATAGGATATTAGTGAAAGTTTAGGTGAGCTATTCAAGAATCTTACAAATACAACAAAAAATATTTTTACATTTCATCAACAATATCTTTCATATGCTAAAGAAAAAAGATTTTTTATAAAGAATGAAACTAAAGAAACAAGATTTTTTTTGCTATAAAGTAAAAAAAATTTAATAAAGATTGCATTCTATCTTCTATCATTTTTTTGGCTTTTGTGTATTTGTGGAATCAAAGAAATAAAGAAACAACAATTAGTAAATTCAATTTTAAAATATTATTTTTTAGTTACTAAAAAATATATTAAAATTTACAAAGCCTTCAAATCAACATAATAGAAATAAAGACCTTTAAAAACAACATGTCCTTTCTTAAATAAATGAAAAGATATAATATATTTCATATCATAATTATAGAAGAGGCTCTCAATATTTGGTGATATTATTAGAAGTAAGAAGTATTCTTAATGATATTTTAAATATTTTATTTGAAAGAAGCTATAAAAACCTCAACAATGATCAAATAACAAAGTGGTCTTTTTGCCTTGATATAGCATACATTGGATGGTTGAGAGAACCTATCAAATACCTTTAAAAAAAAAACAAAGATTATATTATATATCTAATATAATTTGTCATATTTTACACTTTTTTAACATGTGATTACCATCCCTTGTAAAACTAGTCCATAGAAGGAAGATAATGTCATAAACATCAAAATTGGTATTAATAATTAGGAAAACAAGAAGAATTACATAAAAATAAAATAAATAAATTTAATAATATCTTGTAGAAAAAATTACTTTAATTTAGTTTTTATTTATTTATTATTATTTTATTATCTGTTATTTTTTTTCTGGGCAACAACTTTGATTAAATGTTTTTATCAGTGATAACAATTTTCTTGGTAATTTAAAAACCACAAATCATCTAATTTAAAAAAAAACAAAAAACAAACTGACAAAACAGATTGAAACAAGACTAAAAACAATCAGGTTCTTGCACCAGCAGAAAGTACACAGACCCTTTATATACCAACATATTTCATTCCAACCCCCACCAGCTAAATATATTGAATAGAAACACAAAGGTAAAAATAAACATAACATGTCAGTATCGAAGTTTAAACCAATATGGTGTGATTAGTCACATTACAAGAAATTCACATGCTTTTTATTGTTATTTCTATTTTTATTTTATTTTAATTTAATTTATTTTTTTATTTCTGAAATGCAAGACATAATAACATGAGACAAACTGTGGCCTGAAAAGAACCCAGCCACATAGGCGAGGGTTGCCCAGCTGGCAAAGCAACGGCACATGTCATCCATCCGACAGAGCCGATGCAGAGGCAACGAAAGGAGGAATCTTCATCCATCACACGAGGGGATAAAGATGGAGCTAGTGAGCCACGGAAAGACATGGAAGTGGAAAAGAAATCCAAGCAGCGAAGGGGTTGCTGGAAAGAAAGTGCCTTCCTGGAAAGAGAAGGGCAGAGAGTGTGTGTTTGTTGGACTCAGGGTGGCGAGGCTGCGAGTTGGCCAGGTCTGTGAGAGGCGGAGGGCGCCAGGCGCATGGCGGAGGGGTGGTGTTTTCTGCGATTGGAGGCTTCGTTAGATCGATTGCTCGAGAGATGATCGAAGTGGCGGGATTGAGAGCGATCTTGAAGAGGTTTGGGTTGTGGGTTTTGCGAAACGGGGATGCGAATGAGGAATTGGTTAGTTGGTGAGCGGGGGTGGTGATCCAAGGGGAGGTGGTTGTGGTGAGGATAGTGGTGTGAGGGAATGGGGAACACGAATGGGCGAGAAGTAGGTGCTGGAGGAGGAGGGCAGCACTCGCAATCGGCCGTAGGCGGCCATGGCGCAGTGGGTGGGCAGCGAGTAGGGCACCCTGGATATGGGGTTCCACCGCCCGGGAGCCATGGACACCCTCAAGCTCAGCAGATGCGTGATCAGGGGCGGCTTGGTCATGCTCCGTCTACGGAGAGTATGAGCCAAAGCCCTTCTGAAAGCCCCGGCAGCGCCGCGCGATCGCCTCTCATGTTCACTCCTCAGGTCGGGATCCTCCCCTGTGTGGATGGTCTTTTGAAGTTTGGATTAGTAGGTTGCCTTGAGATTGGGTTGATCTTATATATATTTTTAAAGCTATTTTTTTTGTTACTTTCATTTTAAAAAATAAAAATTTTAAGTGATGGCATTTGCGACATCAGAATCTGCGAGAAAATTGAGCGTAGTTGAGTGGGTAGCGTATTTTGGCCGTGGCGCATTACGGGGATGAGATTGGTTGCGGGAGAAGAATGTGGGTTGCTACTTGCTTTTGTGACTGAAGACGGAGCATTTTGGTTCAGTTTATTGCTCGAGGCGCTTTATTGTGGTCTGTTGTATTTTCGAAGCAGTGGAAACATACCTAGAAGAAGTTCTCGAAAGAGTCATGTCATGTTTTCTAGGGCTTGTACGGAGCGATTGTGTCTATGTCATTGGTTGAATGATCACGGTGCCGAAGTTTGAGAGATGGGTTTGGGATGCAGGTATCCTATGGGTCTCTGTTCCCGGCAGCGCATTGGCTTGAATTGATGTCTATCCGAACGATTGCAGTAGTTTAAAGTCATTCAACTGGTCGAGTTACTCTTTAAAGTTAGGTCAACGATGGTACTTAACTTATAACGTTATCGGAGGTGGTAAATCGTTTGATCTCATTTTCCTGCTTCTCATCTGAATAGAGAGATGTGGTTTGTATGTTGCAGGTGCCTATGGTGCCAATCTCTAAACCAAATGAGTTGAGTTTGGGAGGATATGCACAGACGCAGCGTGCTTCCCAACAAGCTTATTATGAGACGAGTTTGTATGGAGAGCCTGACAAGGGGGTGGCTACTATGATTGTGTGGAGTCATGGTGGCGGCAATGTTGGTGTCATAGGCTCATGGGATAACTGGCAAACAAGGTGCGGATCTTTCGTTCCTTACGTTTATCAGCAACAGTTGGCTAGTAATCATAGGGAGCATTTGGCTCAAAGTTTGTCATACCAGTTGACGTATTTCATTTGACGAGGGCAAGAATCTGGCAATCTCCTCTGCTACCTACTCTGTTGTCTACATGTAACCATTTGTTGTTGTAGAGTTTGTATGGATGATATTTTCTGATGTCCATGTAATGACAAAAGGCCAACAAGTTGAATTGTTCTGTGTTGTACTGCAGGCAACCACTTCAGAGGTCTGGTAGGGACTTCACATTGATTAAAGTTCTTCAACCAGGAGTCTATCAGTACAAGTTTTGGGTGGATGGAGTGTGGAGGTACGCACATGATTTGCCTGCAGTATCAGATGACACAAACAACGTAAACAATGTGCTGGACGTGCAGGTAAGTGCATCTGTTACATATTTATTCATCTCCTTCAATCCTTGTTTTCCAATTTTCTCGCAAAGCACCGACGAGTGTGCATTCGTGTGCCCCTTAAAGGGCATCGTCTGCAGCGAGCATGTTTGTGCAATACAATCTAGTCTTCTAGCAGATGCTATATGGTTGTTCGATACATGGAACCGAGAAAAAACATGTTTTCAGCTGATTGTACTCTATTGTGGGCCATTCTTTGTTGTAGTTTTGTTCGTTCTACTTGTAAAATACGAATAGGTCGCCTTGTGAATCAAAAAATTATTTTTAGATGGTGGCATGTACATTTACCAATGCAGGATTACGTACCAGAGAATCTTGACAGTGTTGCTGGGTTTGATCCACCACGATCACCTGAATCCAGCTACAACGATCCATTGCCTGGCCCTGAAGACTTTGCCAAGGAACCTCCAACAGTGCCCCCGCATCTCCATTTGACGCTGTTAAACGTGCCACAACAGAATGAAGCCTCAGCAAGTCTTCCCCGGCCACAGCATGTAATTTTAAACCACTTGTACGTTGAGAAGGAGAAAACCAATCGTTCTGTTATTGTGCTTGGTACTACAAATCGCTTTCGATCAAAGTACGTGACGACTGTACTGTACAAGCCCTTGATGATGTGAGTTTTGGAAATGGCGGTTGTGGCGGGGCTCATATACAAGTTGAAGACCAACGTCCAATTTATTTATATGTAGTGTACACATTAGGTTGTGCCTGGCATACAACTGTGGCCAGAGCACCCCCCGCCAGAGCTCGCAGAGCACAGGTTGCAGTAATGAAATTGAATTTCGAAGGCGTGATGTGGAGACCTTATTTCTTGAGTTGTGATCTGATAGAGTTGGTACTGCCTGCACAGATGTATATTTAAATCCGCAGAAGTTAAAATTATCTAGTTCTAAACAGCATGGCTTGTTATCTGACGATTGTTTTTATTACTCCTGATGATACCTTGAGTTACCTAGTAACTTTCAGTTGATTTCCCTCGTAGTTACTGTAACTTTTTCTGTATCTAAATTGCTAGGCTGACTTCTGTTGACACTTTCCTTGATTCATTTACTCGTATCTACTACCCATATGATCAGGCTATTCTGCCACAAATACAAATATGAATTGCCATTCTGTTGATGCGATATGATGCAGCTGTCAAGTGGTGCCTTCTCCAGGGAGGCCCTCGAAGAGAAACGACGTAGAAAGTTAACTGGGGTGTGAGTGAGTGTTGAAGAGGTTTTTTTTGACGACTCAATCCACTGTCTTGTGACATGGAGGGCGAGGGCGAGACATGAATGAGCGAAGGTGGCAGACCTATCCGTCCCTCCTTTCTTTACTCTCCTCGAGGAAGGTTTCAGTAAGTGAATTCAGTCAAAGAGAACAGCACTGATCAGAAATTGAGGATTACGGACCCAATGAAGATGCGACTGACGAGGAAATTGGACACCCGCAGCCAGAATTTTAGCGCAGGAAAGCCATAACATGAATTCAACACTTGTCATACTCAGACACACTTATGTTACAATAACCGAATATGCCTCCTTTGAAACTTTGGGTCTCCCAACGTCGCGCAGATTAGAACCAGTTACCCCGCTTGCATGCCCAGTGTTGCACTGGTCATGTCCTACGACCAGATTTACGCAACAAAATGTATAATGATATCAGTCACATGGAGTAGAATTTTGGGGGGATGGGTGTTTTTCGCTGTAAATTACAAGCTTGCAACTTCATGGGTGATTGTAATCAGTTTCGATTTTGTCTAAGTGGATCCTGACATGGATTAATTTTGGATGGATGAGCATGATAAAAACGGTAAACGATGCCATTGCCGTTTCGAAACCTCATAAAGCGGCAACGATCATAAGAAACAGGGAACTAGGTGCTGAGAATGTGGGAAAGGATAGAAAGGGTGGAACATCCTCTGTATCGTTTAAGCAAGTCAAAATTCCTGGCCGAGTCTGAAACATTGGCGGAGCCGTTTCAAGAGAGCACTGAGCGGAATACTTGTAATGCATGTTCGCATTTGCAGCCTCCCGATCGCTACTCTTGTTTCGAGAAATCGAGCACGACTGAAACTACCGAAGTTGCTGACGGCAGGGTTACTCCGGCGTGGTGTAATCTCAACATCGAAGGAACAATGAACGTGTACAGCTGCAATAGCGTTGAGTTCCAAGAAGTTTGCAAACCATCTTCATAATTTCTGACTTAGGGTTTCATGGTCGCCGTTCTGCGATGAAGAGAGCAGAGCCTCTGACATATTTCCTGTGGTCAGGCACTTTGCTGTGGATCACGCTCGCCGATCCCACCAATCTAATCCAGAATGGCGACTTCAGCATTCAGAGCTTCACGTTCAATGGATTCAATCCTGTCATGGACGTGATTAGCACAGGGATCAACACACTGGTTCCGTATTGGGTAACGACCGATGGCGGGGTTCAAATGCTGGATACCAAGGTTTACAAAACATCGCAATTCTTCAACGCTACTATGCTTTTGCATTTGAACTACAAAGAAGGGCCGGGACGGATGGTTAGCATGCCGATGTACACGCTGCGCGAAGGAGCACTTTACTCCGTAAGTTGCCAATTAGCTGATAATCCAGACGGTGGGCCTATTTACAAAACAATGCGCCTCGAAATCACGGACATCTTCGGGAAGCGATTAGGGCCGAAGCTGGATCCGTTTGTCGTGAGCAACCACAGCACAGAGCGAAACAACATTCTCTGGCAAACTGTGTCGTTGAATGTGCGTGGGACAGGAAAGCCCGCCTTCCTGACGGTGGATTCTAACACGCTTGGATCATACGGGCCACTTACATCAAATTTTCGAGTCAGCCTCAGCAACATCGTCGATAACCCCAGCTTTGAGGTATTTGACGACAGCCTCAAACTGGATGCCACTTACTTTCCCGTTTTGGGTGCACCATCGACGCAGATAACCAACTGGAAAGTTGAGGTCGGGGCTCTCAAGATTGCCTACGCATCACGGTACCAAGCTTCCACTGACAACACTGCTTACATGCTTGACCTGAATGCGCATGACCAGTCGGCTACGATCAGCACAACATTCGCCATCAAACCCAGCACGCAGCATGTATTGCTCTTCGACTCTGCCATAAATCCCGAGCAGCAAATTCCCATCACAGGGCAGCTTGCGGTGGTAGTGCAGGGAATACCCAGTGCCGAGTTCCTGTTAACCAAGCAAGTGGACATGGACAGCAGCGGGTTCTCCATCGACAGCATTGGTTGGAATACCTACGAGTTTCCTTTTACCACCGGGAAAGACGACATCAAGTGCAAGGTTACCTTCCAAAGTAAGCTCCCCGGGAGCTTTGGCCCCTTGCTGGACAATGTCTGCGTGTATGAATACTTGAAGAACAGCATCAAGGACGCCAATGAGACAATTTCCAGTGTTCCAGCCACCGTCGCCGCCAGCAGCTTTTTCACAAACATACAAAACAAATCTCCTCCGAATTCCCCTCCTCCACGTTGCCGAATCCTTCTGAGAGTTTTTGTGAATCTGCTAACTCTGGGCTTGATGCTCCAAGTCCAGTAATTGATCAGCCATTCAATGAATATTTGAGCGATTTCTGACATACATGCATCCATGTACAAGTTCATCAGAAATAACATATTTACTGCAGTCGGGATTGCTGCATAATTGACACTAATAATCAGATTCAACTTTTGCCAGCGTCTTTTTAGGTGCAGGGGTGCGAAAAGTATTTCTTCATGGGTATAGAGACCTCATGACTTGTCAAAAATTTCGAATGTACGCCACAAATTCAAGATTTCAAGGTGTCGAGGTATATAGTAACGTTGGCTGAAATAAAGTTTGAGGGAGAATCAAAGACCGTAGACAACTTTGCCTCTACTGTAGAAACAGACTGCAGGAAGTCGATGATGGTGCACAGCAAGATGCATGTCTGATTCAGCATAGCTCCGACAAAAGTTACTTCGTTTCAGAGCTTCGTGTTGACACTATTCTGTTCACCGACCTTCCAGCCACTGTGTTCGTCAGTTGTTTCTAATCACATTTGCTGTGTGTATATGCCACTGTTCACGTCGAAATAAATAACTCTTTCTGTGAGTCAGTATGTGTGTATGTATGTGTAGAATATGGTATCAGAGCGATGTTGTGATGTCTTGAGAGAAGTTCACAGATCTATCTACATTACCGTATTGAGCAAGTTGAGTTGCTAGCAAACATGACAGAAGACAGTATTGTTCCAGAAGAGGCCAAGCTTGCGGGATCATCAAACGTTCACGTGTGGAAGTACTTGATTACTCGTATTGCAAAACTAGAGAAACTTTGGACTCTTCTGTTTGAATCTCCAAGTGCCTCTTCATGTTCTGACGAAGTTGATAAAGGCATAGTTGATAGAAGAGTTAGGTGAGGATAAGATAGAATGCATGATGTATATCCTCACCATGTCAATTAAGCCCAATTTATTGGTAGAGCTTGATAAATATCAAAATCCAAAAAGTTTTTAGATTTTTTTGTGTCAATTTTTTGAGATCAATAATGATAGTAGAAAGTTTGCTTTAAAAAATAGATTTTTGCTCATTTCTTTCTTTGAGAGCATAGGCATTGAACAATACTTCTATCAATTTAGATAGATCTTTGTACAACTATTTGCAATAGGTGTCAAGATTGATAATGTAAACCTAGTTCAAATTGTTGTAAAAGCTCTCTCTAACACTCTTGACCACTTCATACAAAACTTTATCAATGCACAAAGTTATCTAATTATGGAGCAGTTCCAAAGAAGGTTAATATTAGAAAAAAGAGTCTCGAATGTAGCAAAAGAGGAGGGAAGTCAATCAACAACAAAGTCCTATACTTGTGTAGAGAAAATCAATATCATTGTGATAGAAGTCTCTAAATTCATTGTCATGGAGAAATGAACTTTTAGCAAGGATATTCACCACAAATCTTGTATTCTCTAAATTACTCACTATAATCAAATATGATGCGATGCTTTTATTGTAATAAATAAGGTCATCTTTTTCATATGTGTTAAGTGCATTTAACTGATATGCAGAGACTTGAGGCAAATAAAAGAGCTTAACTTGGAATCAAACTAATCAATCTATCTAATTTATCAATAAATTTATTTATAGATAAAATATTTATAGTTTGTTTTGATGACAAAAAATTCATTCTTTACAATAAATGACATAGACACATGAGAAATGGCATGTACTAATTATCATCTAGAAATCTAGATATTCTAGTAAGCCTAATTCAAACCAACACCAATACCATAAGAATGTAGCACCAAAGGATTGGATATATGAGTTATAATAGATTGCATAAATTTTCTACTATAAGAATGGCAATAGGTATTCTATATATTTTCATGCACAAGGAAGTATGTAACTAATGTCATTAAGAGAAACAATTCAAAGAATTCCTTGTATAATCTAATGATTCTAGGACAATTGAATTTTTTGAATTACTGTACTTGGATTTTTGTGGATATTTTTTTATTATATCCTTTAGAGTCTCAAAATATTTCTTTATAATAATTGACAACTATAGTCAATACATATGGATTAAATTACTTAAGAATAAATCTAATGTATTTATCACATTCAAAATCTTCAAGCTTATGTTAAATTACAAATGAAGCAAAAAAAATATTCTATCAAAAGTAATTAGAGAGGCAAATTTTTTATCCAAAAAAATTACTAATCTATGTGAAGATACTAGAATGAGACAAAAACTCACTAATGCAGCAATACCATAACAAAATGCCATTGTAGAAATCAAAAAGGAAGTTGCTTGAAACAACAAAAAATATGATGGCACAAATTGGTACACTAAGATTCTTATGGATGGAGTCAATTAACACCATAGCTTTCTTATTGAATTGGTCACTTACTAGCTCAAATCCAAAAATGACACCTTTGAA